GTATGCATGTATTGCCTGCATGTAGGTAAGTATACCTGTGTCGTGCAGTGCCCTCAGAGGTCAGAAGAGACTGTCGGATCCTCTTAGACTAGAATTATGGACAGTTGTTAGCTGCCATGTGGGTGCTGGGATTTGAACTTGGGTCTTCTGTAAGAACAACCACTATTTATTTTTTTGGTCTTTTGAGACAGGGTCTCCCTGTAGCCCCAGCTGGCCTGGAACTCACTATATAGATCAGGCTGGCCTCAAACGCACAGAGATCTGCCTGCCTCTGCCTCCCGAGTGCTGGGATTAAAGGCGTGCGCCACCACGCCTGGCGACAACCAGTATTTTTAACTGCTGAGCCATCTCTCCAGCCCCACCACCTGTATTCTTTTAAAAAATATTTTTTATTTTATATGTATGAGTGTATTGCCTGCATGTATGTAAGTGCATCTGTGTCATACAATGCCTGCAGAGGTCGTAGGAGAATGTTGGATCCCCTGGAACTGGAGTTAGGGATGGTTGTTAGCCATCATGTGGGTGCGGGAATTGAGCCTGGGCCCTCTGCAAAAGCAGTAATGCTCTTAAGATAAACCATCTCTCCAGCCCCAACACCATTTCTTTTTAAAAATGATTTATTTATTGTGTGTGTGCCTGTGTGTGTGTGTGTGCAGGTGCCTACAGAGGCCAAGAGATTCCCTGGAGCTGGAGTTACAGTGATTACGAGCTACCCAGTATGGTTGCTGGGAACCGAACTTGGGTTCTCTGAAAGAGCAGCAAGTGTTCTTAACCACTGAATCATCTCTTCAGCCTCCCACATGTATTCTTGACTCTTTTGTTTTCTATAGTTGTTTTGAAATAGTCTCCTTAGGCAGACTTAGAACTTATTTTTTAGCCCAGGCCACCTGGAACTCAAGATCCTTCTGCCTCAGCCTCCTGAATATTGGAATTACAAGATTGTGCCACCGCAGCCAGCCTCCTTGACACATTTCTAAGAGTTCTACAAATAATCATCTAATGGTCCAGGCAAATATTAAAGTATATGAATTTGGGACTGGAGAGGTGGCTTACTAGGTAAAAGTGCTTGCCAAAAATGTGTGAGGCCTGAGTTTGAATCCTCAGAGCCCACGTAAAAGCTGGACTTGATAGTGTGATTCTGGAATCCCAGAGTTCCTACAGTGAGAGACAGAATCCATAGAAGCTCGCCGTCAGATACCCTAGCATACACGGCAACAAACAGTAAAACACTCTGTCTCAAACTAGGTGGAAGGTGATGACTAACAGTAGAGGTTGTCTTCTGTCACATAGACACAAAGATTTAAAAAGTTTAAAGTGTATGAATTCATTTTGTTTATATAATGTTAAAAGATAACAAAATGGGGGCTGGAGAGATGGCTCAGTGGTTAAGAACACTGACTATTCTTGCAGAAGACCAGTGTGAATTCCAGCACTCACATGGCAGCTAACAACTGTCCATAATTCCAGTTCTAGGGGACCCAACAGCCTCTTCTGTTCTCCGCAAGCATTGCACGACGGGTGCACTTACCAACATGCAAGCAATACACTCATACCCATAAAATAAAGTTTAAAAAAAGATACCAAAGTGAAGAGAAAAAACACTCAAATCTATTGCTGGGGCTGTGTTTAGTGTGGCGAGGCCCTGGGTTCTATCCTTAGCTTGTTGGTACGTGGGAAAGGAAGAACTAATTTCTTCACCTCATAGTTTTTTAAGGTCCAACAGGAATAAAAATTAATTACTTAAATATGCAAAAGAATGAATTTGGAGGGACTGGGTGTGAAGCTCAGTGGTAGAGTGACAGCTTAGCATGAGTGAGTCCCTGAGTCCATCCCTACCATCAACAAAGTAAGGATGAAAGATTACCCACAGAATGGAAGCAAAGCATTTGTTTGCAAATTGTAGTTTGGTAGAGGGTTAATACCCTGAATATAGAAAGAACTCCAATCATTGGTAGAGGGCTTGAATAAGATGTATCTAAGATGGCCAATAAGTCCATGAAAAGATGCTTAACATTAAAAGAAAGCAGATGACTCTCACAGTGAGAGGCCACTTCACACCTGTTGTTTAGGGATAGGGAACAGTAAAAGATGTTGGTGAAGATGTAAATTGTTGCTCAAGATGTACATCTTCAGTCCTTACCGTTTTGCTGGTGGGAATGTAAGATGGTAGGCAGAGCTGTCACAAGAAGCTGGCAGTTCTTTAAAAAGTTTAACAGGGGGCTGGAAAGATGGCTCAGTGCTTAAGAGTGCTTGTTGCTCTTTCAGAGGACCTGAGTCCAGTTCCCAGCATTCGTTGGGTGGCTCACAACTGCCTAATTCCAGCTCCAGGGTATCTGATGCCCTCTTCTGGCCTTTATTGGCACTACACGCACATGCATACATATAGAAATAAAATAATAAAAATAAATCTTAAAAAAAGTTGATCAGGCTGGGCGTGGTGGCGCACGCCTTTAATCCCAGCACTCGGGAGGCAGAGGCAGGCAGATCTCTGTGAGTTCAAGGCCAGCCTGGTCTACATAGTTCTAGCTGGAGCTACAGGGAGACTCTCTCAAAAAAAAAGGGTTGATCATAGAGTTAGCTCCTGATTTAGCAATTGTGCTTCTGGGTATCTGCCCTATGGTTTGAAAATGGGGATTCAATTGTTTGTTCTCAGGTGTTGATTGCAGCATTATTTAAAATAGCCCAAAGGTAGAAACAACTCATGTCTGTGGATAGGTGAGTGGATAAAGATGTGAGAGCTGGGGATGTATCTGGGTTGGTAGAGTACTTGCCTACCATGCAACAAGCATGGGGATGCCCACCTGTAATCCTAGCACTCAAGACATGGAGGCAGGAGGATCAGGAGTTCAAGGTCATTCTCCGCTTTGTTACAAGTTCAAGATCAGCCTGGCTACCTGAGACCCTGTCCCCCACAAAGGAAAGAAAATGATAAATTACAGAAGTAGTGTAGAGCGCCCCCATGCTTAGCCCAAGGCATGCCAGGAGGACATATGGCTTTTCCTGAGGGTACCAAGTGGTCCAGGCCCCCCAGAGCTGCCGTGGCTTCTCCTTGAATGTTCACCTGAGCAGCCAGGTGACCAGGAGACAAGGTAGTGGCTGTAGGTAGGCAGAGCTGGCTTTGTAAGGACAGTTGTGACTCCGATGCTTGCCTGATCAGTATCAGGAATTCAGTGCTGTATCTTCCCTGTGGTCCACTTAGCAACACTCACACCTGCAGGCAGGCAGAGCTAGGGTCCTCTGAGAGCCAGGGTCCATCATCAAGCCTGATCAGCACACAGGATCCCGCTCAAGACCCCCTTGCCCTGTTCACTGTCTTCCTTGTCCCCTTTAGGACTAGCCTTGACAGTTTGCTTTGGAAAGTATCAGGGCCAGGATATTTTAAGGTTACAAAACGGTGGTAGTCTGGGCTGTCAGGCACCCAAGGCCATTAATAAATAGCCTGAGTTAGGGAAGGTAAGAAGACAGGCATCTAGCAGGGCAGCAGCTGCCTAACTAGGTCAGGTCTATTGTCATTAAGTGGGTTGGCCGCCACAGACAGGCAAGGGTTTGTGTGGAAGATGCTGCTGCCCTGGGACTCCTGGATGTGCCTGGGCAACTTGACCCCTGTGGTTCCATTTTCAGCCCTTTAGCAGGAAGAGAAGGGGTAAGGGTTCAGGAATTGATTCCCAGTACTGCATCTAGTACTGCATTGTATTTTCCTTTGAACTTGGACATAAACTTTTTTCACTAAGATGTTTTGTGTTTTGCTGGACAAGTTTGCTCGTCATAACTAAACATGGGAGATGCGGGATGAGGAGACCTGGGGCCAAGAAGATTAATTGTATATTTGTACATGTTTGTTTAAGTCAGGGTCTTATGTAGTCCAGACTGGCCTCAGACTCCCTGTGTAGCCAAGGAAAACTTTGAAATACTGATCCTCCTATATCCAGCTTTAGTATGTAGCCCAGGCTACTCTGGAATTTGCTATGCATCCCAGGCTGGCCTATGACGGGTCAGTGCCCCTGTTCAGCTCTGTGGCCCCACTCCTCAGCTGTCCTTATTTCTGCCTTAGCCATCAAGACTGCTGTTTCTTTCTACAGTGACATTTTTTTCTTTTTTTAAAGTTTTGTTTAGCCAGGAATGGTGGTGCATGTTTGTTAGACCAGAACTCAGGAAGCAGAGACAGGTGCATCTCTGAGTTTGAGGCCATCCTGGTCTACATAGTAAGTTCCATGCCAGCCAGGGATACATAGTAAGACTTTTGAAGAAAAAAAAAAGTTTTTATAGATATTTATTTTTATTTTATGAAAAGACGCTTCAGAACCAGTGTCTGTTATAAAGACAAGTGTGTGGTGTTGGTTTGTGTGTGTATGAGTATTGCCTGCATGTACATATATGCACCACATGTGTGCCTAGTGTCCATGGAGGCCAGAAGAGGGCCTTGGATCCACTGGAGCTGGAGTCACAGGCAGTTGTAAGCCACCCAGTGTGGGTGCGAGGAACCAAACTCAGATCCTTTGCAAGAGCAATGTGTTCTTAACTGCTGAGTTCTCTCTCCAGCCCACCCCTCCCCCCTTTATTTTATTTTGAGATAAGGTCTCATTATTTAGCTCTGGCTGGCCTTGGACTTGAGATGTAGACCAGGCTGACCTCAAAGTCATAAAAATCTGCCTGCCTCATTTTCCCCAGTGCTGGGGACCCTTTCTTCCTTCACAGTGCTGGGGGTGGAACGCAAGGCCTTGAACTAGGCAAGTGTCTGCCACTGAGCTACGGCCCCAGCCTGCTTTCTGATCTTTGAGTACTTCTAGAAGATAATGGAGTATGTAGTATTGTTTTTGTTCTTATTGTTATTATAATCTCTTTACCATGCAGATTGGCGTCCTGCTCTCTTCACAGTGTGTAGGGCTCTTCAGAACCAGCGTCTGTTATAAAGACAAGTGTGTGGTGTTGGTTTGTGTGTGTAGATGCTCTAACGACCCTCCGTGTTCATCCCAGAATTTTAATTTGATGATCTTTTCCAGGTTCATATTGAGATCCACTGAAGACCACCCCTTGACTGACAGGTGTCACCCCAGGTCACCCCATCCAAGGATGCAAAGCATAAGGGATGGAAGAGGGATCCTGGGCACCTGCCTGGCAAATATGAATAGGTCACAACAAGGTGACCTGGACAAACTATCACGTGGCCTTAAGAAAAGAACCCAGAAGGGGAGCCCTGGCCTAGCAGATGTGCCTTCCTGGAAGGATCAGCCTGAAGTGCGTGTAGATGGAAAGTCACAGGACACAGCAGCATCCTTGGAAATGAAACGTGATCTGAGCCAGGCTGACCTTGAGCTTCACAGTGGCCACAAAGAGCTTCCATATCCAAAGGAATCAATGGGAAGAGATTTGGCTCTGGCATCTGTGCTAAGCAAGGCCTGGGGTCTGTCTTCTGCTCCTGCAAAAGAATGTCTGGCTGAGGTGTCTGGTGGCATCGGGAAAGCTCTAGGGAGTGATGGGCTGGGAAGAGGGCCCAGAGCCACAGACAACCACAGAGGACAGTGCCCCAAAGGAGAGCCTTGGGTGTTGGGATGGCCAGGCCAGCCAGAACCATGGGAAATGGGATTCTTGAAGGGCGAACCACCAAATGCTTTCCCCAGTGAGCGAGGTGCTGAGTCCGAACTGTCTTGTCCCTGTTATGAGCTGTTCCAGATGCCAGATGTCCATCATGAAGTTCTCCCCAAAGACGAGACAAGATGTATATCTGTTGAGCATTTAAAGCCCATGTTTTCAGAGCAAACAATAGGATACAAGAAAACTGTTGCAAGCATTGAAAGTACTTCTTATGGTCTGCAGATGATCTGGGGTCACTGATTCAACAGCCTTCCAGATTGGCAAATCTCCTACACCATAGTTAAGGTACAAGCAGAACAATAAACAGATTAATTTTAAAAGTTGACTTACACTGATTTCTTTTGCATTAAGTCTGGCGTACGCTGCAGCATTCAATCCCCACTCTGATTTGTGTGGCTGGACAAACCTCACTGGTTGATGCAGACGGAAAATTTTCAGCATATTTTTATTTAACTTGTGCTGGAAAGACTCAGAATTGGAAAACCCGTTCAGGAGATGGTTGGAGCTGAGCACTTAATGATTTAACACAGAGTTCTTCCTATATTCAGGACACCCGTTCTAAAGGGCTACCCTTCCCAGACGCCATCCATCCTCAGCTTCTCTCTGCTTGCCTGATGGAGGTAAGCATCTGTAGTCTACCTGCTCCACTTCTACTAAGCTTTGCTTGGTTCATGGTGAGCTGTTACTGTGTCTGCATTTTATAAAAGAATTTTGACCTGCGGCAAAAATGTCCTTTCTCACACATCCCTCTATTTCCTCTTGAAACAAGATTTGAGTGGAGGCACTTTGGTGAAGTTGCAATATTAAATGTAGGATGACCTCAAACTAGGAGTCCAGAAGTGTTACTGTTAAAGTTGCAAAGGAGCCAGAGACTCTCTTCTGAAACTTAGGATAGAGAAACAAATCAAGTACTTCCCTTATCAAAGTTGCCAGGTCCCAGGACACCTTTGCATTAGGTTTTTTCTGAAGTTACTCTCCTTTTGTGATTTGTTGCTAACTTTAATAAAGGTCATTTAGGAGTGGGGGGTGATAACTGCATATATTGTTTATACTATGTGCTAATTACTATGCCCTGGGCTATTTTAGTGTTTTGGGAAAATGAAAAATCTGTTCTTTAGCATAATAAATGTCTTCTTTTATGTGTGTGCTCTTTTCTCTTTGTGTTTACATTACACTGTCATCTTCCTGATAGGGAAACACTGTTTAGCACCAGGTGAAGCAGGTTGCTGATGTAGAACACTAGGAACAGACTTGGAAAGAGCAAACATAGGGGCTGGAGAGATGGGTCAGCAGTGAAGAGGCCTGCCTGTTCTTGCAGATGACCCAGGTTCAGTTCCCACTACCTATGTTGGGCAGCTCACAACCACCTGTAACTCTAGCTCCAGGAGATCTGATGCCCCCTTTTGGCCTCTGAGGGTACCTGCATTCATTCATATGTGTACATATATCCACACACAGACACAGGCATACACATAATTAAAAATAGCTGGGCATGGTGGCGCATGCCTTTAATCCCAGCACTCGGGAGGCAGAGGCAGGTGGATCTCTGAGTTCAAGGCTAGCCAGGTCTACATAGTGAGTTCCAGGACAGCTAGGGCTACAGGGAGACCCTGTCTCAAAAAAGACCAATAATAATAATAATAATAATAAATCTTAGGTCAGGCATGGTAATACGTGCCTTTAATCTCAGCACTCTGGAGGTAGAGGCAGGTAGATCTCTGTGAGTTTGAGGCCAGCCTGGTCTACATAGTGAGATCCTGTCTTAGAAAAAAAAGAATAAAGCTGGATTGGATTTTTCTCCCCCTCCTCCTCTCCCCTTTTCTCTCTCATCTCTCCTGTCTCCTCCCTCTCCTCTGCTCTCCTCCCCAAAGAGAATAAAATAGTATTTTATATTAGGCATGGTGGCACATGCCTATAATCCTAGCAACTCAGGAGGCTAAGGCATGAGGCTCAACATGAATTCGAGGCCAGTTTGCAATTCATGAATTCAGATACAGTGTGGACTATGAATTGAGTTCTAAGCCAACTTGGGTTACATAGTAAGACTGTCTCAAAAAAACAAAGCAAGGACTAGGAATATAATAGCTCAGTAAAGTGCTTGCCAGGCAAGCATGAGGATCTGAGTTGATACTGGATAGGACTGTTCTCCAGTCTGCAATATGGGTAGATGCCTTCTTTGCAAGCTTGGTTGTACCCTCTTGCCTAGGATCATTGCAAACTTATTGAATGTTAATCCTCTGCAAGAAAGGAGGGACAGGGAAAGTCAGCCACACCCCTCAACCAACCAGTTGGCCCTAGCTGCGTGAGAGGGAGGGACGAAGGGTATATAAGGGGGGGGGGCAGTAGGGAGGTTCTCTCTTAACCGTGGTGGGGAAGTCACAATCTATGCCTGGATGGAGACTTTGCAGTGCACCCATACTCCTGTAAGTAGACTCTCACCCATTGCTGTGTAACTAAGCCCAATAAACTCACTCTGTTTCCCAGACTGTAGTTCAGTGAAATTGAACCTCAGTTTGTCATAGGGACCAAGGGAGGAGGGAGCCAGACATCATTTGTGCCTCCTGGAAGGAATTTTAGCTACAATTGGATTCCCATCATGCACATAAAACAGTCCAGAATAGTTGTTTGTAATCCCAGCACAGGAGGCAGAGACGGTCAGATCCCTGCAGCTTAATGGCCAATGAGCCTAGCCTAGTGAGCAAGCTCTAGGCCAGTGAGAGACCCTGGCTGAAAAAAAGGTGGAAAGTGACACCTGAGACTGTCCTTGCAAAACAGATGTCTGGTCGAGTTTGGTGACACTCTTGTAATCCTAGCACTTGGGAGACAGAGGCAGTGGAGTCGAGATTAAGGCCAGCCTGGGCTGTGTAATGTGACTATCTCAAAACACTAAAAAAGCTGGATGTGGTGGATCACACCTGTCACCTCAGCATTCAGAGGCAAAGATAGGACTGTTGCAAATACAAAGTCCAGCTATATGAGTTTGAGGCTAATCAAAGCTACACAGTGAGACCCTGTATATGTGTACACACATATTAGCCCATTCCAGTGACTGCTGTCTTGACTGAACAAAGCCCTGGTGAATGGAACTCTTTTGTCTTTGGTTTTTCGGTTTTTTAAAACAATATTTTCATTTTATGTGTGTGAGTGTATTGCCTGCATGTATGTGCATCTGTGTTGTGCAATGTCCATGGAGGTCAGAAGAGGGCATCAAATCCCTGGAACTGGAGTTACAGGTGGTTGGCAGCTGCCATGTGGGGGCTGAAAATTGAACCCTGGTCCTCTGCAAGAGCAGCCAGTGCTCTTAACTGCTGAGCCCATCTCTCCAGCCCAAATGGAACATGTCATGTCACTGATGGATTATGAAATAAGATGATGGTGTTTAAATGTTTTTTAAAAAAAATATTTTTATGTGTATGTGTGTATTGCCTGTATGTAGGTAAGTACACCCATGTCATGCAATGCACACGGAGGACAGAAGAGGCTGTCGGATCCCCTGGGACTGGAGTTACAGTTGTTAGCTGCCATGTGGGTGGTGGGATATGAACCCGGGTCTTCTGCAAGAACACCCAGTGTTCTTAACCGCTGAGCCATCTCTCCAGCTCTGTGCTTGAATGTTTTAAAATGAGAACTCTTGTTTATGTTTTCATTTTTTGAGACAAGGACTCCCTATAGCCCAGACTGGCCTGGAGCTCACTATGTAGACCGGGCTGGCTGCCATCTCACAGAGATCTGCCTGCCTCTGCCTTCAGAGTACTGGGATTAAAAGTGTGTGCCACTACACCCAGCAAATGAAAACTCTTTAAAATTTTTTTTCTTTTATAAGTTTGTACATGTGTGGAAGTTAAAGGGAAACCTTTGGGAATTGATTTTTCTTCTATAGGTCCTGGGGATTGAACTCTGATCCTCAGCTTGGTGGCAAGCACCTTTATCTGATGAGTCATCTTGCTGGCCCATGGGAACTATTTGCTTGTCAAGTCCCCCTTTTCTATTTTTATTTATATTTTTAAATAAGCTTACTCCTTTGGGATGGAACTTTGGAACTTCCCATGACACTAGCAGTTTCCTAAACTGCAAGTTTACCAACATGCAACCAATTGCCAAGAAAAAGTACAGAATTCCCCTCTTTGAATCAAATGCTAAATTAAGAAAATTGGACCAGGTATTGTAGTGAATGCCTGAAATGCCAGCACTTGGAAAGTAGTGGCAAGTGGATCAGGAATTTAAGGTCATCCTCAACTATATATCATGTTTGAGATCAGCCTGCACTAACATGAGGCTGTCTCCTGTCCCTAGTTGTGTTTTTTTTTTAAAGACATGGCTTCGTGAGTAAAGTGCTTACTGTACAAGCAGGAGGACCTGAGTTTGGATCCCCAGCACCCACTTAAAAATTCAGCATGGCTGTGTCTATAGCTGCAGCAGTGGGGGGACAGCAACAGGAGGATGTGGGGGTGAGGATGGGGCTCCCTGGCCAGCCAGCCTAGCAGAATTGGTGTTCAGTAAGACACCCTGTCTCCAAACAGGCAGAGAAACTACTGAGAAAGACATCCCAATGTCAACCAGCGGTCTCCTTGAACAATGCATTTTCAAATCTAATTTATTTAGAGACAAGATCTCACTGTACAGCCCTCTCTGGCCTGGAACTCACTATGTAGACCCGTATGGACTTGAATTTACAGAGATCCACTGTCTGCCTCCTGAGTGCTCAGATTAAAGGTGTGTGCCATCACACCCCCTCAAATCTCTTAAAATCACATGTATTTATTTTGTGTGTGGTGGTGGGTGCCACAGCTCATCTGTGGAGGTCAGAGGACATTTTGTGGGAGTTCATTCTCTCAGTCCACCATGTGGACCCTGGGAATCAACTCCAGGTCATCAGGCTTGGCTGTAAGTGCCTTTATCTGCTGAACCATCTCTTCAGTCCCCTTTCCCCTCAAAAAGCATTTTCTTTTTTTTTTTTTAAATTTATTTTTATTTTATGTGTATGTGTGTATTGTCTGCATGTAGGTAAGTGCACCCGTGTCGTGCAATGCCTGCGGAGGTCAGAAGAGGCTATTGGATCCCCTGGGACTGGAGTTACTGACATTTGTCAGCTGCCATGTAGGTGCTGGCATTCGAACATGGGTCTTCTGCAAGAACAACCAGTGTTCTTAATGGCTCAGCATGTCTCCAGCCCCAAAAGCCTTTTCTAAAAGCAATTTTGGGGGAAAGTTAACAATCACTTTTTCCTTTATTTTTTTCCCCTCAGACCAGTCTCATGTAGGCCAGGTTGGCCTTGAACTCCTGATCCTCCTTCCTCTTCCTTCCCAGGGCTAGGATTGGGGGTACCACCTGCCTGCTTTCATTTAAAAGTTTTGTTAACTGGACTGAAACTCACTACGTAGACCAGACTAGCCTTGATCTCACAAGGATACACCTGCCTCTGCCTCCCAAATGCTGAGATTAAAGACATGTACCTCCATCCCTGGCTTCATTTGATGTTTTAAGACACATATCCTTCACGGCAGTTTTCTCCTTTGATACTGTTCTGAGTTCCTTTGTGAAGATGTTTTCTCCTGGGGAAACTTCTGAGAACAATTGGCCAGCCCAGAAGAAACTGATGGTAAACATACCATTATAAAGCCATGTGGCTACAAAAGTGGGCCTTCTAGAAACATTTTTAAATATTTTATTTTTATTTGATGTATATGAGTGTTTGCAATGTATATAAGTGTGCAATGCCCACAGAGGTCAGAAGAGGGTATCAGATCCCCTGGAACTGGAATTAAGGGTGGTTGTTAGCCACCACATGGCTGCTAGGAACAGAACCCAGGTCCTGTGCAAGAGCAGCCAGTACTCAACCAATGAGCCATCTCCCGCCTTGTAACTGTTGATTTCATAAGTAGGATACAAGGTCTGTATTATAGAGTATACATTCTTGTATAGTTATAAAAAAACTTTTATGTGTATGTGTATGCCTACATGTAGACAGGTGCACCCATGTCATGCAATGCTGCGGAGGTCAGAAGAGGGCGTCGGGTTCCCCTGGAACTGGAGTTACAAATGGTTGTTAGCCACCATGTGGGTGCTGGGAATGGAACCTGAAGAGCAGTCAGTGCTCTTAACTGCTGCGCCATCTCTCCAACCTGGAATCCTTGTATAG